GATGTTGTTGCAGCACCTACTGTTCCAACATTTACTTGACTTGAATTAGTCATTTTTCTGTCACAAATGGCAGACAATTTAGTATGTGAAATACTACCAGTAAAGAACAAATCCTTACACAGACTGTTTCTGATTTAACGATAAAGTTTTTATGTTCTTTTAATCGTTAATCGAATGAATTTTAAAAATTCAAACAGAGTAGAAAACCATAAAGGTTTTAATCTCCAGAAACCTCAAATACAGAAACTATTTAAATTTCTTAAGATTGTTATCTCCTGTATTCAGGTTAGTCAAAAATACAGAAACAGAAAAAAGATGAAACAGACAGAATTAGTTTTAATCCGAGTCCACAGAAACCACTGTGTTTCCTTAAGAAATTTAATCCCCTCACTGTACCCGAGGTTGCAGATTAATTTCTCCCAAGATAAAACGGATTAACCTGTTAAAGAAGTAGCGGTACCTCAAACTTCAATAACTTCAGCGAACGCAAGAACAGCAACAAGAGCACACACAGACTCAGTCGATCGACAATTTTATTTATGAGAGAAAATGTATGCAGAGAGGAAAAAATTTTCAGTGTTTGAAAAAACGAAAAAGATCTCTTATTTATAGCCATATGCAGCAAGGAACGCGTCTGTAAAACCCTCTTATTTATAGCCATTTGCAGCAAAGAACGCGTCTGTTCAGACCCGTTTTTTTTCAGAACATTGTGTCCTTTGGGAAAAGTAACGATTTTTCAGAAGGAAAACCGTTTGGAAAAGTAAAAGGATTACCGTTACACGTGAATTTCAAATAAATTCAGTTGCGCCAAATTAATTCTGTTAGTTAACCAACATTCTGAATTAATTTATAAGAGAAAGGAAATGATTTAACAAGATTGATTAAATAAATTTTGTCCAAAAATATTATCAATCAATCACATCAAATAAATTCAGTTGCGCCAAATTAATTCTGTTAGTTAACCAACATTCTGAATTAATTTATAAGAGAAAGGAAATGATTTAACAAGATTGATTAAATAAATTTTGTCCAAAAATATTATCAATCAATCACATCAAATAAATTCAGTTGCGCCAAATTAATTCTGTTAGTTAACCAACATTCTGAATTAATTTATAAGAGAAAGGAAATGATTTAACAAGATTGATTAAATAAATTTTGTCCAAAAATATTATCAATCAATCACATCAAATAAATTCAGTTGCGCCAAATTAATTCTGTTAGTTAACCAACATTCTGAATTAATTTATAAGAACTAGTGTCCCATTATCCGAGAGGGCCCTGCTAGTGTCCCATTATCCAGGAGGCCCTTGCTGATCCCATTATCTAGGAGGGCCCTGTTTGTCCCATTATCTAGGAGGGTCCTGCTAGTCCCATTATCCAGGAGGGTCCTACTAGTCCCATTATCCAGGAGGGTCATGCTAGTGTCCCATTATCAAGGAGGGTCTTGCTACTCCCATTATCCAGGAGGGTCCTGCTAGTGTCCCATTATTTAGGAGGGTCCTGCTAGTCCCATTATCTAGGAGAGTCCTGCTACACTAAATCATCAAATAGAATAACCACGACATTATTTTTTCCCCAGTTTACACCATAAAAATATCATTTAAGCTTTGAGCATAAATGAGAAATACTTATCCCAAAAGAAAAATGCAAGAAATTGATATAATTAGGGTGTTTGTTCTCTAGAAATGAAAGATAGTAGGGTGTTTGTTTCCTAAGGTCAAAATGAAACTAGAGTGTTTATTCTTTAGGAATGAAAGATGGTGCATATAGGGTGTTTATTCTCTAAGGTCAAAATGCAAATATGGTCTTTGTTCCCTAGTAATAAGTGTGATTTTTTTTTACAAATAAAGACATGCCCAGTTTTTAAATTGAGTAACTTTGAAACTCTTTTTAATTTATCATTTTTTGATTTTTTTTTTTAAAAAAATGATTCAATTTCATTCCTTCAAGGATATAAAATTTTATTCTATGAGACCGAACCATATTATAAGACTGCCTACATATCTTGTATAGCAAGAATCAGGTCAAACGTAGTTCATAAAAAATAAAAATAGATTATTATTTAATTTTTTTGATTTTTTTTTGGCAAAAGACCTCTTTTTTTTAAAAAATGCTAGAGGAGAAAAGAAAGAAATTAATTCATGGTTGAGATTGCTATGACTTTAGTTGGTACCAATTATTAGTATTATACATATGAATCACCTTCAACTACTTTCAGACAAATTTAAGGTCAACTTTGAGTAATCCTTATAGTTTCAAATGGTATTTCAAACATACTTAAGTATTTACAAGATTAGTTCATCTTACCTAAGTTAAGGGATAAAATTATTTATATACTCATGTTTCAAGTGGTCTCACAACAAATGAAGTCTTTTTTCCCACATTATAGAATAATTTAGATCGTAGGACATTTTTGAAAGTCACTCACACTCAGAAAGATGTGCAATGCATGAGATTGAGATACCATACCCTCATGTAAGTATCCACTAATGTGAGAACACCGAAAATGAGATCAAATAGGACTTGTCATTGGCTTGTAATGTAGGAAGGGAAAGGTAGGATATTCATTTGGGATAAAGTGACTATTTCCTCCTTAAAATTTGCACAATGCTTTGAATATTTTTCATTCTCGCATTTGGACTATGTTTTCTTGAAAACTCCTCATTTATTTTCCTTCTTGTTTTCTTATTTTCTCTCCTTTTCGTTGGAGATTTTCTTTTCTTTCTAGTTTTTCATTGTCTTTTTCTCTTTGGACTTTCACATGTTTGACCTTTTCACTTTGTTACCCAACTTAGATGTTTGGCACTGTGTAGATAATTGATAGTGCGCTCAAGGAGGTGAGATCAAGGAATAGTGCATTTATGCACTCAAAAAGATATACGCTAAAATATGGTCATTTAAATAAAAAGGTTTTAGGCTCAAAATGGGAGTTCTGTGGATAATATGTCATTCCACTACAACATTTTAGACCTAAAGCCACACTTAATCAAAGTAACACTTGTAAAGTGTTGCCTAATTTTTTTAATGCTACACTTTATAGGTGTAGCCTTAGTTTTTAGCTTTTGACCACGGTAATATTGGCAACACTTGTAAAATGTGCTTTTTAGTAGTATAGGCTACACTTTCTAAGCGTTGTGTTATCATGATATAATTGGCCACACCTATTTATATATATGATCACACTTTTAAAGTGTGCTATTTTTATAATTATAAAAACAACACTTACCAAGTGTGGCCTTAAAATTTTCACTAAAATATTATATTCCCTCCAACAAATTTAACTCTCCCTCCCATTTTTATTTGGCCAAAAAGAAAATTCATAAACAATAAAAAAATAACTCTCCAAGTCTCTCAAAAGAGATTTTCTTTGCCCTAAATCAGAAATTCTTCAAGGCTTTGTAAATATGGAGTTTCGCCCAAATTAACACGTATCTGTTCAATCAACACACAAAGCAATGAATTTTCACAAAACAAGTTGAAGAATGATTTCAAAATACTTCTCTGATTTTTCACTACCTTTTGAGATTCGAAATTCCATTTTGAAATCAAAGATCGTTTAGATCCATTCACGATTTTCACTATCTTTGCCCTTACGATTTTGTCATTGTTCGCCAGGGACAGAGCAATGAAGATGATGTCCCAAAGCTTCATCACATCAAAAGGGTTTTATTGGAATAGAGTTTAGCAGGTAGAAATTTCTACCTTTAAAAGTCTGAATTTTTTACATCTTGGTTTATTGTGTGAGGGTGGATTTTGATTTTCATGTGTTGTTGATTTTTGGGATTCTAGATTGTAGTAGTATTGCACCCATCATTTTATTATTTCTCGTGATGTATGTTGCTTTGGTAAGGATTTTCCTTGTGAGACATCACAGATGACAAAGTTCTACAACATATTGACATCGTGATGTATAGGCAACGTTGCACTATCTTTTTGGTGAATTCCTGCATTGTAAGCGGAATTTCCAAATGGCGAGGGAGTTATATCAATGGGCAATGCAGGATGTATTAGAACGTAATGATTTTACTGACTCACAGTCCGTATCAGCTTGTAACATGAATTTGGAGGAGACTTTGTTAGGAGCTACTTGTGCTCTAGGACAACTTGAGGCTCATTTGGGGTAAGACTTCCTTTAAATGTTTGGCTTTCCCTTGTATAAACATATATTCCAATATCTTCCCTAATGCACAGACTTTTCTGGTGGCTGTAGGAATTTTTATGATGCTTAGGAAATACTAACTGCAGCACTGAAGAAATCAAAAGAGTGCTTTGGTTTGCTACATCAATTTATTATCGCATGTCTGATAAAATCATTTGTATCCTATTGATTTTTATTTTATTTATGCAAGTAATTATCATCAAAAGGTAGATATTATTTTGACCTTCATAGCTCTCATGTATCGACATAAAGCAGCCATGGAGCGGTCAAGATCGGTTTTGATTCAAGAGGTCTGAAACTATCAACTAAAGTTGTATCCTAATGGAGGATGATCGCACCTCAATTGAAGAACTTTGAAGGTCTTCTATCAACTAAAGTTGTTTCTGTAAGTAAATATTTTGGATTTTTACTAAAAGCAAATAGGAGTATTAGACAAATTACATATTATGTTGAAAGGCGAAAGTTGAAATAGTGAATACAATGCTTACTAATAAAAATCTACAGTGAAAAGCTTACGCTGTAGAAACTCTTGATCATTCGTTTTGCTGGAGGGTACATAATTTAAAAGTTAAATATATGTGGTGCGTTCCTTCATATCACATGAGAAGATCATATGATGAAATTTGCAGGAAATAGCATGGTTAAAGTTAGTTACCAAGTTGCGAATCCTGAAAAACGGCATTCTCACTAGTGAAGATGGTATAATACTTATCATAAACCTTAGCTAAAGTCAAAAAACTCTCTAATCAGCTCCATATCTCATTGTACATGATTCCAAATATTTCTCTCTAAATTCCATACATGTGTTTGATGGAAAACACTGAATATTTTTGCAACAATGAAAGCAATTGAAGCAGAACTTGCAGGAGTTATCGTCTCTAACCATGGAACTCGGCAGCTAAATTACACTCCAGCTACTATTTCTGTTCTTGAAGAGGTGATTCCCTTAATTTTCAGATATGAAATACAAGCTCATTTTGGAATTCTTTTCAATTGAAAACTGAAATATGTTGTTTTGAATCTTAAAAATTTGAAAAATATTAACTTGAAATCTCCTAAATTAGGAGGTCCATGTAGTTCAAGGTAAAGTTCCAGTTCTTATTGAGGGAGGAATTAGATGAGGAACAAACATATTCAAGGCTCTAGCACTCGGCGTAGAAGCTGCTCTTGTAAACTTAATGATTTAAAGAAATGAATTTAAGTTATATACACAGATGACAACGTAATTTTTTTTTAATATATTCCTGCAGGTTGATCAACTGATTATCTATGGCTTGGCTGCTAATGGAGAATCTGGGGTAAAACAAGTTATTGAAATGCTTAAGAATGAACTAGAACAAACTATTGCTCTTGCTGGCTGCTGCACTGTGGCAGAAATTACCAAAAATTATGTCAAGACGGAGAAAGAAAGGTTCCTAGGTAGGATGTAGTTTAATCATCTGATCCTTTCCAAATGAATGGTCTCGTCAAAAAATTATATCTTGTATATTAAAAAATTATACTTAAATACATATGTCAAAACTTACATTTTATCTTAGTATCATCTCTTTCATATTTTGATGTAAGAATTACTTGTAGGTTATTGCTGGCTTATGGGTTCTTTGGATACTTGGAAAATTTTGGAACATCATCACCTTGTTTTGCATTTGTAAGCAATCTACTCTAATGCTTCTTACTTGAGTGACATATTTGTAGGGATTATTTAGAATTATGAAAGTGTGTGATTTCTTCTTCGAAAATAGGCCTTTTTTTTCTCCATGTCATTCATGTGCTTTATGATAATCTAAGGTCGTTATTTATTTTAATTTGATTAAAATATGTAATTTTAATGTATATGTGTGCTGTAAATTTAAATTACTTGGTATTTCTTTTCAATTTTCTATAACTAGAGAGTGATTGAAGTAAATAAAGTATTGTACATGTTTTTTATTCTTTAATCCTGTTTTTAACCTGAATCTGATTCTTGTTAAAATTGCTTAATCTAGATTAGTTTATTTTGTATTTATAAATTGCTAAGGAAATATTTATCATCAAATCATTTTTCTGCATTCTTAAATTAGTAAAGATATGAGTTTGTCAAGTTCTGACTTGTCAAAAATTAAGTTGTACTTAACAATCTGGTAGTTTAGTGCTTCTACGTGGCTTGGATATCATACTTTGTACGTGGCTTGTACTCTCAAAATTCAGTGACGTGGTTGCTTCCCCTCCTTTGGAGTTTAGTGTTGAATTTTTGGGGTTTTTTTCCTTCTTGCTGTTTGATTTTGTCCTGGGTATTGAGAATTGGTGGACCTACAGAATCATGTGAAACTTTGTTTTGGCTTTGTTCATTTATTTACGTATTAAATGTATTTTGATTGTGTGAGTAATTGCATTTCACGTGTGCAGGTTGTTGGTAGTTTGATATTTTTCTTTTTTTGGTATACTACTGTTGTCCAACCTTTGTCTTCATCTGATTTTTTTGGACTCTCTACTGGCATTGAATAATCTAGTAGTTTAGTTCTTCTAGAAGTGGATTGGATATTGTTTGGTCTGTTGGGGCATGAGTGTACTAAGTTTCCAAGTTTGCCACTTTTATTTGGGCATCCCGGTGGTTTAAATTATATTAAGCCTGCACTTGTTGCAGATGTTACACATGCATGTTATTATGTAGCTAATTGATAATCAGTGTGTATCCTTTATGTTATATTGGTATCTGACTGCTTGAGTTGCTTATTATATCATCACATGTACATTATATGTTTACTAGTCTTATGGGTGTCGTATTGCGGCTATTTCAACGTTCAGGTTACTGTAGTGGGTTATGTTATCATGACAACACGATCCCTTGACCTTAACTATAAATAAGGGCATTGCGGGTTTTACCAATGTTTCTGTTGCCTGGCTTATCCTTCATTACATATTCAGCATTTGGAATTTTTACAAGGATGTGTAAGTAATTAATGGTTGTTAGCTAACCAAAGCTCTCATACTGCTCATTTCATAATCGTATTCTCTTACATACTCATTTACCCCTTTTCCTTACTGTCTCTGATTTTTGATGCTGAATGTGATTTAGGACTTTGATTTTTATGGAAAAATGGTAATTGCCGAGAGATGACCAAGTTATTTGTGGGTGGTTTAGCTTGGTTAAATAAATGTGGTATACATGATTGAGCCAATGTTGTTCAAGTAATAAATTAACCATGATTACATGTATAGCTACTAGTAAAATCATGCTAATGTTAATGTGTTTCCTGGTTTATAGCAGTAGAAACACTTGACAGGTTGTTGACCAAAATTGTGAGCTGGTTTTTTTTCTCTCTAATTTGATCGCAAGCAGTTTGATAGACATTTTGAGTAAATGGATTTGTTATTTATATGGTATGTGATTGTCATGCAATGTAAATATATTTGAAGAGGTACATGAACAATAGTTCAAGGAGAACCTTTTCTGTTAAAGTTGCACACTTTTCTATTATATGAGATAAGACATCTCATTATGGATTTAATTTGGTCATTAATTGATTAGTTAAATTTTTTGTGCATGCCATGAAGACAAAAGGAAATGAATGTCTATTCTTTTTCTGGTACCTTTTTGGTTTAGTTTGCCTCAGAATAAAGTAGAAATGATTAATGTTGTAACTTCATCGTAAGAAAATTGAACACACGACTTATTAATCAACTAGGTGTGGTATCTCGGCTAAGAGACCGTGTACAACATATAGTGTTGAGATATTTTTGTATCTGTATGGACATTTTGGTCTTGTTGCAAACATTGAAGAAGTACTATTGACTTGGAATGCAATATGGAATCTCTTCTCTGTTTTATGGTGTCATCTTGTATTAGTATATCTAAACTGTAACCTGCAATCTTGAACTCAATAAATTTGCAAACTGGAACTGTAATTTGTAATCTGGAATTAATTTGGAGCTGTAATCTACAATCTGGAATTAATTCTGAACTGGAACTATAATCTGCAATATGCAATTTGGTTTTAATTTGCCTCAGAATCTGCAAAGTGAACTCAAAAAATTTGAAGTCTGCAATCTGCAATCTGGAACTACTGCAATTTGGAATTAATTTGGAACTTCTTGCCTCTTCAATAAATGCTGCAATCTGATTTTGTTGTACATTTTAAATGTGTAGAAAAATGGAGGTGATCAAATTTGAAGGGTCATCACAAGTCAATTTGATCTCATTGAAGTGGATGATGAAGAGTTTTCGAACTATTGTAAAAGTTTGAATACATTATGTTTGATTTTGTGAAATATATTCATTGCTACAATATATTGAACTATTGTAAGAGTACTTTTTTGAACTATTGTGTACACATATTTAGAATATTGCTTTATAAGTATGTGTATGTACACAAGACATACTATCTTTTGAAGTTTATTGCAAATCTATATATTTGAATTATTTATTAGCCAATTTAATACTTGAGATTATTTATTGCAAAACAATATTGGTGTTTTTTAATTAGAAATTGTGGCATATAAATATTTTATAGCAAAATAGTATTACCACACTTAAAAGTGTAGCCATACGGCTGTAAATTGTGGTATGCACATGGGCAAGGACTACACTTCAAAGTGTGGTCATACATTAGATAGAAAAGGCAACACTTACAAATCGTGGGCAATAAGGAAGCTAAGGCCACGCTTAAAAGTGTAGTTGTATGAGATAGAAATGTTGCTATATGAGGTACTAAAACTAGTTGTATAAGATAGAAATGTTGCTATATGAGGTACATCAAAGCGTGGCTGATAAGGTAACATAGTGTTGCATAAACTCTAAGGTTACGCTCCTTTTGGCCACCCCTGAAAAAGTGTTGCTTAAAGTCCAAAAGTGTAGCCTTTTATCAAAGGCCACACTTTTTGCTAGTTTAGGCTACACTTTACTGGGGTGGCCGTAGGCCTAAAATGTTGTAGTGTTTGGTAGGCTTGAAAGGCACAATCGGATCAAAGAAAACCTATAATCCTTTTCCAAGTTAAATGTTGCTCAAAAATTCGTTCCAACCAACATTCGGGCCAAGTTCTAGATCAACAAAGGCATGTCATTGAATTTAATATGTAAAGTTGACCACACAATGTACATGAAACATGAGTTTGAATTTGTTTTAGCCTTAACTTTAAGTAAAACAGTTTTTCAAGTATTACATAAAATTATCAAGAGATACCAAAAGAAGTCGATAGGTCACATTCCTAAACATGTTGGTACCAACCAAGTTAAATTTTCTAAATTAAAAATTTTCTTGAAGAAATGTCGTACCCGAAACAAATTTTTCATCTTGTTTTTTTTTTAGATTTTAAAATAAGGAAGAGAAACACTTTTATTTGAACTTTGAATTTTTTTTTTTTTAAAATTGCCCCAGTTTTTGTGACGAGGCCTTTCTAAATTTTCCTTAGTTGGACCGAACCTCAAAATGAGGCTACCTACGTATCTTGTCAAAGCGAGAATCAAGTCAAACGTAATTCAAAAAGATCATAAGCACATCATTATTTTTAATAAGAAATACATATTTTATTTTTGAAATTTTAAATAAGGATCACCGAACCCAAAGAGGGTTTTCTACGTATCTCATCGAGGTGAGAATCAGGTGTGCGTAGTTCGTCCACCTTGGACAGTTAAAAAAACTTTAAGATATTGAAGCATGACTTGACAAATGCATTACATTTGCAATTTTGGTTAAGTTGTGAAAAAAAAATTTATTTCATTTTTAGGAAATGTATAATAACTTCTAAAAGTAGAAATATTTTTGGTGTTTTCTCCCTATCTTTATACAAAATTTGAAAGATAAACTATTTTTCTCATTTCACTAATCACCGTACAATTGTCAAATAAAAGATCTTCTAAATAAATATATTTTCTGATAACACATGTAACTATCTAAGTAATCAAATAATAGAGGGATACACATTCTAGACAGATTCGATCCTATGTTGAGTCACTAAGTCAATTGCAAATAATAATGAAAATAAGTGGAGCCTACTAGGATTAGCCATATCTGTGTTTCAGTTTCATTAGGTTTAACCCTGAAGGAGATATGTGTCTAGACTGGCTTACCCGAGTGGACAACTCGAGCCAGGGAGGGGCAACTTATCGGTGGCAACGCTATTTCGATTTCATTGTTGGTCCATTCCCACCTAACATATGTGACTAAATATTCTTCACTGGGTGTCAAGACACTCCAGCTTTATCTCGAGAGAAAGTAGGATGCATAAATGCATTCCTGTGAACTTGTGATAAGTGTATTCAAAGACTCATAAGGTGTGCGCGAGAGAAAACAATTTAGTATAGTTAAACAATATAAACAAAGCAATAAATAGGCAGCAAGTAGCACATTAGGCCATGATACACAATATCCAAAATAAGTAATAAAATATAGTAAAAGTCAATATAACAAAGCTCGAATTCTTGTTATTTCCCAGCAGAGTCGCCAGAGATGTC